ATCTAAACAGCTTAGAACTCACTCAATCAGGCAACTTGGGGGTCATTTATTATTTTATTGATGCTACTTTTAAAAAAAACAAAATAAAAATAGATTAATTTATTTAATACAATTTAAAAAAAATTACAAAACTGTATGAAGAATTGCTGAGGAAGAATTTATCATCCTCTATATATGTCACATTAGTTTGAGGGGTACCTTATTTTGAAGTCTGCGACCGGAAGGGGCTGTGATGCGTGCAGCTTGCCGATGGTGTACTTTTCGTTTCGCAGGGAGGAGTTAGACGTTAGTTTCTCTATTAAAGTGACATGTTTATTTGAATTAACAGAAAGTATACAACATGTATCGCACCGTGTATCCATAATGTAGTCGGAGTGAAGCTATTGATCAGAAAAGAAGGTGATTTTTCGATTAAATTCATATAGAAAAAAAAAAAAAAAGATCGAAGGAAACTGACGGAACAGGAAGACGGAACAAGTAAGTTCGGGAAAGTCGCTTTCAGCTGTACGATTTCATCACCTTTTGATCCTCTGTGGGGCTTAATTCACGTCCTTTCTTAACACGGTTGTATTTAAATAATGTGCTTTAAGTATTAATAAGCCATCTTTGTCTTGTTTTGTTTGGCGTTTGTTGTTTTGTTTTTTTTGTATCTTAAAGCAACAAGTCCGACCGAGTTATCGAGTCACGTCACGAATAAACTTGGTACAGTCGTCATGTGCTTTGCTGTTTAATCTCTGGCTTTTATCCTCCTTTTAAAAGTGGGAGAAAACCCGGCATAAAGCCCGCTTTGTTAAGGAGATGGAGGGTTATAAATGTGGTGTTTGGTAGCAGACTTGTATTGTCATTCCGCAGATTCTCGGTTTCACGGCGGAATTAGTGCATGAAAGAGGAAATGACTCACTTTAAGATGGTTGTTTCATCTTTTTTTAAATCCTTTTTTTTTTTTTTTGCTGCTGCAACTGTTGAGACTTGTCGTTTACCTGAGCTGTTCAGACACACAAAAAAAGGTGCTTTTCTCAGCATTTAGTGGTAGATTAAATGATAGAAGTAAGTATATTTAGGTATATACTGTACTTTTTGTTTATTTTGCAGCGTGCATTTTAGGGCTGTACCCTGATATGACCTCCATCTCTTTTAATGCCACTGTGAATTTAAGAGTTATATTTGCCAGGGAAGGTTGGGTGAGGGGTTTATACTTTAATACTTCTCTGCATGCAACTTTAGGCCCGAGACAATGCAAAAAGACCTGGGACACTGATGCTATTGTTGTGTAACTTCAGCTCAACTCTCATGTATTACATGTTTAATAAGCATGAGGGATTGTAATAGAGCTGAAATTATTACCCGATTAACAGATTAGTAGATCAAAGCATTAAACATTAACATATTACCAGTTCAGGCTCCTTTATTCTGAGGATTTGCTGCTTTTGTGATAGTGAACTGGATCTATTTAGGTATTGGACGATGGACATTTGTCTCCATTCTCTGACATATGATGGATCAAATGATTCAATCAATAAAAATAAACAGAGGAGTAATAGATATTGATTGTGAGTTGCAGCCATAGATTGTAATATATTTAGTATAAGAAATAAATGCATTACAGTAAAAATGTCCATCCACTAATCAAACTTTCTTTCTCTCTTCTCCCTTTGATCATGTGCAGGATCAGAAAGCAAAAGAAGGTCCAAAACAAAACCTCTGCACTGGTTGTTGACACAACCTGCTTCCACTTCAACAGTAAACAATTCACCAGAAGCATTCGAACGAATCGGCGGCCGCCACCACATGCAACAATGTCCATGGCCCTGAAACAAGTCTTCAACAAAGACAGGACATTCCGGCCCAAGCGCAAGTTTGAGCCCGGGACGCAGCGCTTCGAGCTGCACAAGAAGGCCCAGGCGTCTCTGAACGCCGGGCTGGACCTGAAGCAGGCCGTGCAGCTGCCCCACGGCGAGGACCTCAACGACTGGGTGGCCGTCCACGTGGTCGACTTCTTCAACCGCATCAACCTCATCTACGGCACCATCAGCGACTCCTGCACCGACCAGACCTGCCCTGTCATGTCCGGCGGGCCCAAGTACGAATACCGCTGGCAGGACGAGCACAAGTACAAGAGGCCGACGGCACTGTCCGCCCCGAAGTACATGAGCCTGCTGATGGATTGGATTGAGGTACAAATCAACAATGAGAACATCTTCCCCACCAATGTCGGTAAGTGATATGGTCCTTTAAACGCTCTGTGCTGAGAGACAGAGTTAGGTCTTCTGAACGAGCGAAATTTCATCTCAGCATGTCAACATTTAAGAAATCTGCTACTGTGAAGGATCTCAGAGAGTCAGGTAGTGAACTCCTAACGTCGCAAGTTATTGTCAATTATTCTATTTTAATTCATTATCTGATCCATAAAACGTCACAAACAATGATCAGTGTCCATCCCAAATCACAACAGGTCAAAGTGACGTCTTATTATTGTATACAAGAGTTAAATCTCCAGTGGTGTTCACTTAATGATGATAAAAAAGCAGGAAGAAGCAGCACTTTCTCACATTTGAGATGCGGTATCGGGACTCTCAGAGTGTGCTGAAGGATACTTTGGAGGAAAGCAGAAAAGAACATTTATGTTACACACAGATATGTTTATTTCTTAGGTTTCTCTCTCTAATGTTTTGCTTTTTGTCCTATAAAATACTGAATAATTTTGGTTTTGGAGGATTTCTGTAACAAAAGGAGAAAAAATATAAAAGTTCAACTAGACACAATGAGTAGATATGCAAATAATGACAAAGGGTTGCAAGTTTTATTTCTAAGTGGTCACGAGCCCAAAAAATTTGGAACCACAGCTGTTATGTATTATCTATGGTTACGTATTAAATTAGTGATTTATATTACGTTGAATGAAAAAATCACCAAAGACCAACAAAAGCCACTTTAATGATTAACATTTAATGAATACAAACAAAATTTTAAATGAGAGATAACATTCTGCAGAGTGGAGGCATTCAAATCTTAAATGTGCAAGGGCGCATTTATTAGATTACATAGAGTGTTGCACATAGCAGACACTATCAGTTAATCTCTTGCTGCTCTGGTATTCTCCGTTTTCTATTATCTCAGTCTGTAGCTCTGTGCATGCCCTGTGCTTGGCATCTGACTAACTACAGAAACATCTAAGCAATGGATTAAAAATGGGTCACACAATGCACAGTTGGCTATTAATAGAAACAACCTCTGACGCAGTTGTCCTCTGGAACAGATTCCTGAAATATTATTGAATTAGTAGAAGCAAAACGACACACTAAATTAATCACTTGGTTGGAGCGGAGGCTTATCCCCCAGACTGTGTCGGTTCGTTTTCCATTCACGTATGAAGCGATGCGGGCTGGGCCCTTAAAGCATGCTGGTATCCAACACAAGGGCCTCCAGAGGACAAAAAGATTAAGAAACA